ATTACCTGGGTAATTTAGAAGAAGAAAAATGGTAATGGACAACATCTGAAAAAATGGGCTGAATGAGAATCACTTTGATGCCAAGGGCGAGCTGCAAAGGTTTAGCAGGCATCTAGCAACTTGGTGAATAACCACCAGGACCTCCCCGGGCTAGATAAATCCCTGAAGTGTACACACACAGAAACAGAGCTCTGTGACAAAACACACTGAAATAAAGCCATCAGTTTCACTGGGTCATGTGAATGCTCTCCCAGATTAATCAAATTACTTACATCAGACCAAAACGAAACCACTGGTTCAATTACACGTTAATAAAGACCATCCGAGTTTGCGGAACTGAATCTGACAGCTCTCCTTTGGGTCAGAATTGCTGAAGCAATCACTCAGCACACAAATCTCTGTCAAGGCTTGGGAGCATTCGTCAGCAATTTGTCAGAATTCTGAAGACATCTCCCTGATCGGAAGCAACAGGAACAGCCACCAAACCGAATTCACACTTGGGCCCTTCCCCTGCTCACTTAGCCCTAATCTGCAGTCAGCATAAAACATTATGAAGAGTTTAGTAAAGCAAACTGGACGGGAAAAGACACTGACTGTATTGAGAGAGAAAAACACGCTTTGCACTTAGTACAAAGTGCTCATTTGCATGCAGCTGCAGACCAACACGTTGTACTTATTGCTTATCACTAAATGTCGCCCACTAGTTGAGTGAGTTTGGGTGGTTTTCTCCCTATGAGTCCTATCACGTATTCTTTAGGAGTCTGTCCATGGGCAGGAGTTTGTTGCAGCAGTTAGGATGCCACTTGCAAGGCCTGCACCCCATATCAGAGTGCCTGGGGTTCAGTCTTGGCTCCACTTTTAATTCGTTTCCTGCCAATGTGAAGTGCTTAGATCCCTAGCATCCACAGGACAGACCAGGAGACCTGACTCCTGGTTTTAACTGGCCCAGCTCTTGCTGTTGCAGGTATCTGGAGGAGAGAACCAGTGGATGGGGACCCTCTATATGTATCTCTGCCGTTCAAATAAAATGGAAATTAAAAAAAAAAAAAGAATTTTTCCAAACCTAAAACCCTACAGTAACAGGACTGGAGGAAAGGAAAATAGTGGCCAAGAAAATAAATGTTACAATTTATAATAAATGTAACGATAAATGTTACAAGAGAGTTGATAAAGGTGATACTGTTTACTTAAAACTTTACACCTCCATTTACTGAGAAACAGACTATCCTAGGCAATAAACCCAAGTGGCAGAAGCAGCACTTCTTGATTTAATAATTCTACAACTACCAAACTAGTAATATTTTAAGATTTAATCTGCTAGTTAATAATTTAGAAAACGAAACATAAAACTCTCCACGGAAATGGTGTGATATATAGTGGTTAGGGTCTTAGGCTAATTTACAAAAGTTTATTTAACCTTTAACATAGGGAACTGCTAGACACTTTTTGACAAAAATAGAAAATAGATGTTGCCATACTAGTGATTAAGTGAAAAGAACATCAAAATCAAACAAAAAATATTTGTCTTGAAGCTTATTCTTCATAAAGTCAACCAAGTGATAATCACCCACTGGTCTGCCCACATTACACATCCTCCCTCCAAGTAGATTATCACAGCGCACGCAAGTCTCTGGACCCCAGGATGAGGACCGATGCTTATGTAAAATGAGACACTCTTACTGGTTTCCAGATACAGGGGACACTGGGGGATCAGAGGTAGGACAGAAAAGCACAGAACTGGAGAGAAGTGGAGGGGCCTTTTCTTAGCTGTCCCCTGATCACAGTGGGTAAGAAACTTAGTGACTAGAGTGTTCTCTTCACATCCAAGCCCCACAATTCCCTGGACCACACTTCCTGGGCATTCTGTGCACTTCAGGAAACACACAGCCTAAAAACTGGGGAAGGAAGCTCCCTAGCTGAGGCAGGGATTGTTAAGAGACAATTCCTGAACTGCTGGACCCTGTTGCTGCCTGGATGGTGCAGAGGCTGCCTGAGGGAGCCTGAACTCCTCGCTCTGCCTGAAGCACATTTCAACCCACCTCAGGATGCATGCTCTCAAGTCTGCAGTGTGTCACTGATGGCTGCCTATCTGGTGTACGCTATTGCTTGAAATATAAAAGCGAGGGGCTGGCGCTGTGGCTCACTTGGTTAATCCTCCCCCTGTGGCACCGACATCCCATATGGGTGCTGGGTTCTAGTCCTGGTTGCTCCTCTTCCAGTCCAGCTCTCTGCTGTGACCTGGGAGGGCAGTGGCGGATGGCCCAAGTGCTTGGGCCCCTGCATCCGCATGGGAGACCAGGAAGAAGCACCTGACTCCTAGCTTCGAATTGGCACAGCGCTGGCCGTGGTGGCCATTTGGGGAGTGAACCAACAGAAGGAAGACCTTTCTCTCTGTCTCTCCCTCTCACTGTCTGTAACTCTACCTGCCCAAATATATATATATATATATATATATACACATATATATATATATATAAATAAATAAAATTGAATGAATAGTCACTTCCCCTGGGAAGGACCACTTATAACTACAATGATGGGAAATATCCCTAGTTAAATCTGTATTGTGGGCATTTCAGGGTTTAGTCAATGAGTACATATGAATGCTCACTGTGGGAAACAGTGACCTATTTCACCTAACTTAAACAGGTTTCAGTATCAGAGAGCTTCAGGAGGTATTTGCCACTCGGATTTTCTAAGATCTGCTTTTTCAGTTTGCCCTTAGCCCCTTCCTTGATAATAAGTCACTTTAAAATTGAAATTGAAATCATATGCTGCTCTCAAATTTTATAACCATGAATAAGTAACAGGACTTTGATATGTCAGTTGGCACATAGTACAAATACATATTCCAAGCTTTTAATTAATTGTTTCTGAGCACACAAATAGATCTACAGTATTCCCAAATCCCTGGGATCTTTTCATTCCAAATGTGATAATGAACTTACAATCTAAACAGAGCCTGGGTTCTAGCACTGTCAGGAAGGAAGCGTGAGCAGCACAGTCATCGGAGTGTAACTCAGGCCATGGTATCCAACTCAGTTATCTAATTTACACGCAAGCTCTTCCCTCAGATCAAGTCCGACTTCCTTTCCCTGACTTCTTACTGCTACACTGTAGGCACCAACTTTGTCTTCTGGTATAAAATTTCCTGGGCTGTCTGAATTTAACAGTGCCAGTGTTATGTATACAAAGCACTGGAAAAGTCAATGAAAACTTGCTTTCTTAACTTCAAGCCTAACTATTTACTGCAGGGGTGACCTGGCAGAGATCCAGAAGATTCTTCAGACTCCCCCTTCTCTGAGGCAAGTTACCAGTAACCCCTACTTTTCCCCCACTAAGACCTAAGGCATCATTACCCAATGTGCAACAGAAGGAATCTGTGAAAGAACAAGATTGAGATCAGATTCTACTCTCACACTGCAGTGTTTAGAGTATACATAATGCATTTCCACCAGCTTTCATTTTTCAGATCGGCTACTTTCTCAGCTGAGTGGCAGGACACCAAAATCGGAAGGAGAAGTCAATGTCACCGAGTATAAATAGCTGTGGCCAATAACAATACTGCAGAAGGGCCAATAGGAGAAGGACTCCCCAAACTGCAGCAGCACTGACTTAATTCCATGTCTCCTTTCACGAGGGCCTGGGAAAAACCACCACTAGGAAACAGAAAGAACTCACATAAGATTTCCAATGTCAGATTCCGATTTCTTATGTCCAAAAAAGATGAACTTAGTGTGTCCCTGAGGTTTCTGAAACACACATGTACTTTAAGTCTCACTGATGGCCAAGTAAAGGAAACCTTTTCTAATGGAACTCAGATACAGAGGTAATGCTATCCAAAGGAAGACAATATTCTCATGTACACTGATCACCACTCGTGAACACCACAGCTGTCTTTTAAATTATGTTTAACATGCTCCTTCTACTTGAGATAAAATCTGCCACCCTATGGCAAAGCTACATGTAAACTCTGCATTAAAAGTAAGCTTTGCAACTTATCCATCACCATTCACTGCACACAATCCAACGGACCAGTGCTTTGCTAGGGCACTGTTTTGAGATCCATAGGCTGCACTGCATAAGACACACACTTCACTCTCTAAACGTTTGCTGGACATTTCAGTTTTACTTTTAAGCGCTGGAAGTCACTGAGTTTACCAGGATTCTGTAGCAGAACACACACATACACTTTAGCTAACAGCAGCGTTCACAAAATGCGGGCACTCATAAAGTTATATAAGAAAAGCAGTCTCTCCCGGAGAAATGACCTCAGGCACACACACAAGAATCCAGTAAAACGCATATCCTTCCAAGCGGGGCTGGGTCACAGGGACTAGGTAAAGAAATAATGCAAAGTACACTGGGAATCGAGGACCGTGCAAACGGAAAAGCTGCAAGCGATGCCTCCAAAGGCATCTTCCAGCATTCCTTGGGTAGGTAGGAGAGCGCGTGTGAGTTCTCCAAAGAGCCCAGCTGACGGGGGTCACGGTGCACACGCCACAGCCTCCAGCGATTTCCACCAGGTGGGAGAGGAGCAGGGTGGGGAGCAGCAGGAATTGGTCCTCTCGGGGACGAGGAGCGCCGAGGCTGTCGACTGGGACTCGCGCACAGCCCAGCGCTGCCACCTGCTTTCCCACTTCTTCGGGGAGGGCTGCTGACGCGTGGGCCCGGGAGGCACGAGAAGCAGGCATGGTGAATCTGACATTTCTAAACCCCGAGCACAAGCCGAGGTCCCCAGGGCCCAGCCCCCAACAGCCGGGACACTGTCCCCCGCGAGTGCAAGGCACAGAACTTCCACGCGGTCGAAGCGAGGGCCAGGAGACAAGTGGGGAGGGGCGGCGCCGGCTTCGAGTGCACCGGGCGCGGGGGCCGCGGGCCCGGGCCAGAGGTAAGGTAAGCTGTGGGCGGGGCCGCGCGGAGCCAAACAGCCTGGGGCCGGGGCCGGGGCATCCCCCCGGGGCGAGGGCGAGGGCGAAGACCGACGCTGTGGCCGCTACCTGCTGCTGGATCTTCCCGTCCTCCGTGACGACCCAGTGCGTGGTGGCCAAGGCCCCTCGCGCTGCCACACTCAGCAAGGCAGAAAGGCTGAGGAGCCAGCCCGGGCCGGAGCAAGGTAGCAGCTCGCACCGGCCGCGGACCCCTACTGCCGCCGCCATCTTGCCCCCCCGGCTCGGCCGCTCACACCGGAAGCGGAAGCAGCTCCGTGCCGCCCGCCATCTTGGGGAGGTCTAGCGCTGGAGGCGGCGGAGGCGGAGTCGCGGCCGCGAGGGCCTTGCGGGCCGTGTCTTTTCTCTGCGTCTGTTTGGCGGCTGGGAAGCGCTGCCTCCCGTGCCTCGACCCGCCGAGCCTCGGGTCTGGGGACCGCTTTTTTGTTGTTGTTATTGTTTTGTATAGGTAACCCCATCTCGGAGCGTGGGAACCGGAGGGAAATGAAAGCAAGCGGCTTTAAGTGGCGCTGAAGCCGAAATGAGAAGATGCAGTTTTTAAAAGAAGTTTTTATTTCTTAAAATAAGATTAAAAAGTTGGTAAGCCAAACGTGTGGTTTCGATCCACGTAAAGGAAGAGAGGCGTTACCGTTTTAAAAACTTTTAAACAGCGGACGGTTCTGCAGGGGCAGCGCTGACAGCTCTAATGCGGACCACGGAAGGAATTTAAAAGCTCTCGTTACCCATTTTATTTTACCCACTGTATGTTCAATATGAAATTATAAGTTGTTAGGTTATTTTTAACCAAGTCTTGGAAATCGGTTTTGCGGACAGCTCATCCCTGTTGGAGGCCAGATTTCAGAGGCTCAGTGGCTACCAAAAGGAGCAGCCGTCTAGGTCAGCAAACCAGGTGCGCTGGCATCACCGGGAAGCTTGTCAGCCAGCCTCCGCTCTTTGCCCTTGCCCCCGGTGTCTGCTGAATTGGACCAGAGTCCCCAGGTGACAGGGATACGGATGACCCTTTGCGATCCCCTTTTCCGTGGGGGAAACCAGGAGGCCAGCAGGGACTAGTATGGATTCTAGCTGTGGGTTGTAGGTTGGCTGTTGATTAGCTTCTAGCTAGATAACTCATTGTGGGTATTTCAGGTCTGCCTCCAACTTTGTCATTCATTCATTCATTCATTTATTTATTTATTTTCATTCTACTTGAGGGAGACCAGAACCTTCCATTCACTGGTTCACTTCCCCTAATGTCCACAATAGCCAGAGCTGGGCCAGGCCAAAGCCAGGGACCCATGCACTTCAGAGGTTATCTGCTGCCTCACAGGGTGTTCATTAACAGAAAGCTGGATGAGGAGCGGAGCAGTCAGGACTTGAACCAGGGAGTCTGACACAGGATGGGTTATCTCAAGGGGGGATTTAAGTCACTGCACCAAAGGCCCTCCTCTGTGTCATTTTAAGGATCGTTATGCTTTGGTTTTTCTGTGGGAGAGGAACAGAATATTGCCTGCCTAGTTGCAGGAAAACAGTAATTCTAAGTGACTGATTAAACATCACTTCATGCTATGGAAACAATGACCACAGCGTTGATGCTTTTTCTTCCTGCAGAGAGCATCTTTTCTTAAAGGACTGAAGTAATGACTATTAAATTTTAAAATATAGAAGTGGCAAATAATGGAGTTATCCTCGGCATCTTATTTTTAGGTGTAGAAGTCTATCTTATTTGTATGGAAAGCTGTTAAGCAGCGACTGTCATTCTCATCTAACATTTCTTGAGTGTTTAATACATCCTGGGGCCTACACATGCATAGTTCCTGTTAATCTTCACAATTTACCAGGGTTATGCTATCTATGTAGCTTGCCCAAGATCATATTGCTAATAAGATTTCGACTCGAGTGTGAGAATGAAGGATAGTGAGAAGCCTGACATTACATATTTTGTCTATCAACTATTTCTTTGCCACGTTAACCCATAGAGGGGGAAGAACCACAGCTTCTGTAATGTACCACTCACCCCTACTTTCCCTAGAAGGTAACGCTTGGCCTTTGACACTGTACTGGTCTCCCTATTGCTATGTAACAAACTGCCACAAACACACAGCTTAACACAGGCTATCTCAATTCCCCTGGGGCAAGAGTTTGGCGTGGTGTGCCTAGGTTTTCTGTGTAGTCCCACAAGCTCTCTGTAAACTCATTTGAGGTTTAGGGGTCTCCTTCCAAGCTCATTCTTCAAGTTCCTGAAATAATTCAGTTCTTTGCAGTTGTAAGACTGAGGTCTTCATTTCCTTGCTGGCCATTAAGACAAAGACCACCCAATGGTTTGCTGCTGTGTGGACCTGTCAACATGGCAGCTGTCCCTTCAAAGCAAGCGGGAGAAATGTCTCCATTGCATGAATCTTGGACTTCCTCCATGTCTAGAGCCACATTTAAAACACTGATGTGATCAGATAAAGTCCATCTCGATGATCTCCCTTTTAATTCCAATGTCATTAGTTACCATAATGACATCTGCACATATTCCTTTTGCCATAAAACATATAATCACAGGAATGATATATTGATATTTTCCTATGTTCTGTCCGTACTGAGATTCTCCTTGCCCAAGATTTATTAAGGTATAATTGACAAATAAAAATTGTGCATATTTACAGTGTGAAAGTGATCTTTTTGACATATGGAGGGTAGATTTTAGGCTCTCTGGGGGGTTACTTTAGAATTCTATCACAGATCCTAACTGCCAAGAACCAGACCTTCCGTTTATTGAATGGTTTTGAGGGTCACACATTATTACTTAGAATTGCCTCTGCTCATCCTCTTTCCTGCCTGAAATCCTTTTCTTGTGCTTCCTTCTCACATCTGTTATTTATTGTACAGCTCAGATCTCACCCTATAAAAATGTCAGCTGGTTTGTCTCCCTGAATTCTGTAGCACTGATATGACAACACCGTGATATTTTGTGATATGACTTTATACATTTTGAACAGCTAACTCTTGAGTAATTCCTGCAAAGGTTCCAAGGTCCAGTCCAGTGAGACAGAACACTCAAGAGTAAGTCAGGCAAAGCAGAGTTATTACTCATAAACAGGCAGCAAGGATAGACTGAAGCCTGAGATTCATGGTAAGCTGCCCAGGACAGGTGCAGTCTCACCTGTGCATGCCTCATATTGTACCACAGATGCAAAATACTCTGAGTTTTAGACCCTGGGTGCAATTAGGCTTGCTAAGCCCAAGTGCTACAGAATATAATGTCCAAGGGGGAATGAAGACCCAGCCCCGTTTGTTTTGGACATCTTTCTTATCTAGGGATGTTACATCCTAGGTCCACTGTCTGAGAACTGCAAACAAGAGGGAGAGCTAGGTTGTCCAAGGCTATCTGGGGATCTGTCCTCCTATCATTCTTTGTTTACACAGACTGCAGCTGAGGGCAGGAATTTTCCTATATGAATACATTTTTCTCTTCCACAGAGATTCTATACTTAAGTATTGTGGTAAATCAGTTGTTTTAACTCCCCCTACAAAGGTAACTTTCCTATTTTATGTGAATAAAACAAAAAACCTGAATAAAATTGTTGCTAATTTTCTACACCCAGAAATCACTTGTCACCCTCCTGTTACCCTGTTGTTCTAAAATGATGGTTCTCTTCCATTATACTTTCTCTCTTGGATTAAAACCTATCGAAGATGATACTTGACCAAATTACTGATACCTCAAATTATGATTCAAATCTTTCTTGACCAAGTGATAGGAGAGTCCTTAACTGCATGTCATTTGGTCTTTCAACATAAAGGATTTCAGCAACTAGGTTCTTTAGCTTATTTGCTTTTATAAGTCACAGAATTCTTGAAGCTAGGAATTGGGCATTAATAGATCTTTCTGGATTACTAACTTCCTCCCTTGTGCTACCTTAAAGTTGCAAAGGGTCTCCAACCTATATTTTTTAGAGAAAATGTTTGAGATAAAAATATACCCCAAGATAGGTTAACATTCTAGGATTATCAGTGAACCAAATACAGAAACGTCTGATGTTTTGCTTTGATAGTTAGAACCACATTTTGGGGGTTGGTGTGGTGAAGCAGGTTAAACTGCCATTTGTGACACTGATATCCCACATGGGAGCATTGGCTGGATTCTCTGCCGTTCATTCTGATGTGCCTGGGAAAGCAGTAGAAGATAGCCCAAGTACTTGGGTTCTTGCTGCCTACATGGGAGACATGGATTGAGTTCCCAGTTCCTGGCTTTGGCCTGACCTGGCCCCAGCCATTGTGGCCATTTGGAGAGTGAACCAGAGGACTTAAGATCTCTTTGTCATTCTGCCTTTCAAATAAATAAATACATCTTTAAAAAATCCTTTTTAAGAAGATTGTATTCAATTATAAATAAATCCAAAAGAATTATATGAAGGAAAACACTTCAAAAAGCTTGTGGAAAATGGAAAAATAAATTCGGTGCAAAATTTTTAAAACCCATGCAGCTTTTTCATAATGTGCATTTCTATTAACTTTTTGAATATTTCTCACAAAGGGTTGAAAATTAAAGATAATTCGCAAGATTCTATCAATACTGAATTCCCTGGAGGCAGTGCAGTGTCTTGCCTGTTGTTACATTTTCATGGCCTAACACAATCCTTGTCACATGTGAAACAATCAATAAAAGTTAATGAATATTGAAGAATCTAGAGTTATTGTAATTATAACACATCAAGACACAAACCAAAATTACAAAAGGAAATTTATTTCAAAAGCATAAGGGAACATTTACATTTGAACAAAGTGACAAACAGGTGCCTTGCAAAAGAAAAAAGAAACCCATGGCATGAAATTTCCATTCAAATTTTGGAAGCAAAAATAACCTAAGTTTTACACTATTGCCTTAGGAAGGGAAAGGGGACCCACAAAGTGGTAGGGAAGAAATGCAGTCAACATAATATTCAACTGGAGAAAATAAAATCACTTCTGCTCAGCTTTGAGTTTACAAATATGCTTAAAAAAAAAAAAAACGGAAAAATTACATGTTCAAATTTATATAGTTGTAGTCCCAATAGTTTCTGTACTTGAAATGGCTTTAGGCCACTTGCTGCTCTATTTCTGAGGTCCAGACAAGCTGGTCACAGTTTTCAAATGACAGTTCCTTGTTCCTATGTTCAGATTCCTAGGGAGCTTAGGTTCAGCTTAGAATCATTTGGAATGTTTAGAGATTATTGCCACCACTCCATAGCCAAGCTGACCAACTTCTTTTGCCCACTTGTATCATTCTAGTCTTTGAGAAAT